AATCAAGAAATCGGGCAAAGTGAATCTTAAAGAGTTTCTTCTATTTTGAAGAAAAGCCTTAAAATTCTTGGAGAGAGAAAGATGAGGGAAGGATCAATGATTACCTGAAGAGTTCAACTCGATTCTCAATTGGACTAGAGTGGTGAGAGAAATCATACTAAGAGATCAGAGAAGTCATAGAGATAGAGAGAGTGGAGGTTTTGTGAAATGTTGCTGGATTTCCCATAGGTTGGTGACGATATAGAATCCGATCAACCAACAAAATTTGCCATAGCTTCTTAAGGAGATCTGCAAAACAAGAGAGAGAGAGGATGATAGCGCAAGAGGAGATTGATACAGTGTGAGGATGTACGGTAGAAGGAAAAAGAGATAGAAAGAGCGTTAGATGTTATAAATGAAAGAAATCAACGTCACTCACTTAAGTGACTCGAGCTGTTCTCCGTGTTTTCTCCCAAATGAAAACGGTTCTCAGAAAACCCTCAAAACATCTTTTAGTTGTTCGCCAAAAACGTAAACTCATTTATCTCAGTTTTTCAAAAACAGAACCAAGTAGACCAATTTTGGAGTTTTCAGGTTTTTGCAACTATGAAAACAGAAAACTGTTTTGGGAGAATCAATCCAAGCAGGGCCTAGGTTTTCTTGAGGACAAATGGAGAAATAAAAGCCAAGATGAGAAATAAGCCGATATCTTTTGGGTTATTGAAAATGAAGAGATTTGTCCTTCTTTTTGATGACATATGGGGAAGGATTGATCTACTTGAAGTCGGAGTACCACTTCCAAGCAATCAAAATAAGGCGAAGATAGCATTCACCACCAGATCTGAAGAAGTGTGCAGTCTTATGGATGCTAAGAAGAGCATTAAAGTAGAATGCTTGGCATGGCAGGAAGGCTGGGATTTGTTTAAAGATAAGGTGGGAGAATAGATCCTTAATTCTGACCTTGAAATAGAGAAGCTCGCAAAAGTTGTTTGCAAAGAATGCGCCGAGTTGCCACTGGCGCTAATTACGATTGGACGAGCCATGGCAAGCAAGAGAACTCCCCAGGAATGGAATCATGCAATAGGTGTTTTGAAGAAATCATCTACATTCAAAATTCCAGGTATGGAAGACGACGTGCTTTGCCATTTAAAATTCAGTTATGATAGCTTATCTAATGAAGCAATTAAGATTTGCTTCCTATATTGTGCTCTGTATCCGGAAGATTGGGATATTGATGTTGAAAGTCTAATAAATTTTTGGATAGGTAAGGGGTTTCTTGATGATGAATGTGATAACATTGATGAGGCTTTTAAGCTGGCATATGATATTATTGGTAGGTCGAAGCTTGCATGTTTGTTGTTAAATGGAAGAGATTACAAATTATACAATTGTGTCAACATGCATGATGTGATTCAGGACATGGCACTGTGGATAATTTTGGATGATGGGAAGAAGAATGAGAAATATTTAGTGCAAGGATGAAATCGTGAGCTGACCGCAGCACCTCCTATTTCTAAATGGGAGAAGGCCAAATGAGTATTTTTGTCGACGAATTCAATTGAGGAATTAAGCGAAACTCCTAAATGTCCCAATCTCTTGACTTTAAATCTTTGTTCTAATAGTCTAATAACCATTTCTGATAGCTTCTTCCAGTTTATGCCACCTCTTAAAGTTTTAGACCTGTCACACAATTATAATCTAACGAAGTTACCATCAAGCTTTTTTGGGTTGTTTTCTTTGCAACATCTTGACCTCTCGTGAACGGGTATAACTCAGTTGCCAACTGAGTTTAAATCAAAGAAAAATTTGAAGTATTTATATCTAAATTATATGAGTAAACTTGATATAATCGCGCCGCAAGTCATATCAAGTTTTTTGATTCTGCAAAGGTTGGAGATCCAATATAATGGTGTTCCATCAGAGGAAATTTGTGAAAGAAGTATCCTTTTTGGTGGTAATGAATTGTTATTGGATGAAGTAGAATGCTTGAATGACCTACAATATTTAAGTTTGACGGTGAAAAGTGAATTGGCACTCCAAAAACTTCTCAGTTCTGAAAAGTTACGAAGTTGCACGTTTGGTTTATGCATAAGAGTATGCAGAGGCTCAAGTGCACTGCAATTGTCTTCTCTATAGAAGAATCTAAAGAGACTAGAAAAACTTGAAATTGATGAATGTGATGATTTAGAAGCGAAGTTGTCAACGAGGTGGGAGGAAGGAGAGAGAAGCGCAGTACCTCCTCACACATACAATAATAATAATCCGTGGGATTATATAATAATAGATGCAGCAGAAAGCAGAAGCTTCCAAAACTTTAGGGAAGTCTTTATCAAACAATGCAAGGTTTTGAAGGATCTAACATGGCTAATTGGCCCGCCAAACCTTCAAATATTATTCATTTTTGGTTGTGATTCAAAGGAAAAAGTAATAAAAGATGCAGAGAATTGCAGTAGTACTGATGATATTGTAGGTAGGGAAGGAAGTTTGAATGTATTTTCAAGGCTACAAAGATTGATTATGCGGTACTTACCAGAGTTAAAGAACATCTATAGTCATCCACTGCCATTTCCCTCTCTCATCCAAATTGATGTGGTTGGCTGTCCGGAGCTTAACAAACTCCCATTTGACTCCAATAGCGGCAAAGGAACTCTACAATCTGAGGATACCAAAGACGGCATAGGCCGGATCTAACCCAAATGATAATGAATAAGCCAGGCAAATGGCATGGGCCCAAATCAAGCTGTCATGAGGCAAGCCCAATGCCAAAGAGTGAAGCTGAAGGCCTGAAAGACGAATGGATCGATGGATACAAAAGCCTCGATGATGGGCCTAATTGAGGAAGTTAATTAAGGATCTTTTAGAACATTGTAAACAATCTATAAATAGGTTAAAAATGAAGGAAAGAGGGATCAAAATTTTTGAAGTGCAATGAAACTCTGTCAATTTAGAGAAAGAAAATTTCTTGCATCTTCAATGGCGCTGTCCGTAGGAATCGAAGAGAATTCATTGATGATTCACTCAGATTGATTTGATCTAGTGGTATAGCACTTAAAGATGAAGCCTGATCGTTGAAGGCAGAATTAAGATCGGTGAAATTGTGACTCGAGAAATTGGCGTTCGATCTACGCAGTTCTGATTTGTGCTTGTTTTAGAGAGCTGTGCGGTCGAGAGTCATTGAAATTGTTGAATTTGGCAAGTTCATCGTCGGAGCAATTCAGATCTAGTTAATCACGATCAGAATTTAGCTACGCTAGAATCCAAATCTAGAGCGTCAGCATTGACAAAACTCAGATCTGATCAGAAATTTGCGGTTGATGACTTTGCTACAATCTAGAATGATGATCAGAGAAGAGAGTTCAAATCCAGTGGAGAATAACCAGCAGATGAAGCTTAATGAACTGATGAACATGATCGAGGCACTGAGAAAAGAAAATACAGAGTTGAGAGCTAGAATAGAACGCCGAGAGGTTTCGGTTGCGTCGCGACTGCCTCCGGTGGGTGAAAGAGGCGTGCGACCTGATGACACACATCAAGGTGAGCAAGAAGGAGATAACCACGTCAATCTCCACCGCGAGGAGGTTAGGATGGAGAATTTACCGCCAAACGCTCGTCGAGCTGAGGATCGAGAAGGATCTGTATATCTCGATCCTCATCGTGAGCATATCAGGCGGGATGAAAATATAACTTTCAATCCGCATCAGGAAAGGCACAACCGCGAACAGGATATGGAGTTTGATTGTCACAAGATTAACTCACCATGGCAAAAAGAGTTCACTGAGGAAAGGTCGTTTAATCCACCTTATTGGCCTTCAATGGCCACATAGGATTATAGGAGTTTGGAAAGAAGATCTACAGATTAAAGAGTTGTCACAAGGTTTGAAAGAGAGAATGAGGCCCTCCGTTCAGCAGCATGGATGGTTGATTCGCCGTTTACTGACGATATCCTGAATGCTCTAAGCCCGAGGAAGTTTTCCATGCCTGTTTTCATTCTGTTAGATGGAACGACCGATCCGATTAATTATGTATATCACATTCAGTTGAAGATGGCACTGAACACAGAGAATGATCCTTTGATGTGCAAATGTTTTCCTACAAGCTTAGCTGGACCGGCGCTCAACTGGTTTAAGAACCTACTGAGGGGCTCAGTGGACAGCTTCCGTAGCTTGTGTGAGCGGTTCATAAGCCAATACTATGGGAATAAGCGCCCGGCAAAAGATATCTCTAGCCTGTTCACCATGAAACAGCATGACGATGAGCGTCTCCAAGCTTTTCTTACCAGGTTTAACCTAACCAAGAGCATGGTGATAGAGTGTCATCCTTCCACAGTAGTTCAGGCGTTCAAGTTAGCTATGACCCGAGGGACACCGTTCCATACCAGTCTGGTGGTGAACATGCCGAAGACAATGGACGAGCTGAATGAGAGAGCTAATGGTTTCGTACGCCTGGAAGAGGAAGAAGCAGCTAATGCTAGGAAGACATCTATCATCTCCACAGAAGAGAAGTTCAAAGCAAAAATACGGCAGATACAAGTTCCTACGCAGTGTCAGACCTCCTAGAAGGCAGAGAAGAGACCTAAGGAGGATGACTTGATTACTCCACTCAAGGTTAAACTGGCAAGACTATACCAAGAGAATAAAGATAAGTTTCGCCCTCCCTTACCAATTAGACAACCTCTTGAGCAGAGGGATCAATCTAAACATTGTGCTTTTTATAGTGATTTTGGTCATCAGACTAATGAATGTAGGAACTTAAGGAGACAAGTGGAGATGCTGATCGCTAGGGGAGAGTTTGCAGGGTATGTTCAAGGACCAACCCAAGAGCATAATCGACCAATTAAGCAAGTCAAAAGAAATCAAAAGCCGAATCACCATAACACTCAACCTGTTCGGATTATAAATGCCATTCATGGTCGACCTGAATGAGCCAAAGAGTCTGAAGAATTGACCCGAACACATCTTTGATAAGCACAAATGAAGAAACGAATAGGCAGTGTCAACACTCTACACCAACAAAGCTCAACAATGCCGATAAGGTTTGATAAAATAGAACTGATGCGAGTTCAGATTCCTCATGAGGACCCTTTGGTTGTCAGTTTGACAGTGGCTGAGTGTTTAGTACGAAGAGTGCTAATTGATCCGGGGAGTAGTGCAAATATCATGCCAAGGGTCACTTTTGATCGCTTAGAAATCAATCCAAAGGAGTTGAAGTTTACTGGAAACCTACTGTTGGGGTTTGATGGCAAACGGGTAGAACCGATCGGCACAGTGGAGTTGATGGTCCGTGCAGCTGAAAGGAACCTTGTCGAAAGTTTCATGGTGGTGGAAATCCATCCCTCCTACAATCTGCTGATGGGGAGGGGGTGGATCTATAGGGTACAAAGAGTCCCATCGATCCTACATCAAGTGATGAGATGCATAAGTCCAGATGGGAGCAAGGTGATAGATATCCATGGAGATCAGGTCGCAGTAAAGGAGTGTTACTTGGTGACTCTAAAAGCTACAGGGAAGGGAAAAGCTCCTACCCAATCTGCTGATGAGTAATAACAATACAGAAGCCTCCCCTCAGCATGAACGGAGAGGAGGCACTTCTGGTGCTAACTGAGGAACCACTGGTTGAAGTTCAAATTGATCATTTAAGCCCAGATCAGACCACGAAGGTAGGTTCCAGGCTTGCCGAGGAAGAAAAACATCAATTGGTTGATTTCCTCTCCTAGAAAGCCGATGTATTCGCTTGGAGCCATCTCGACATGCCAGGGATCGACCCATCAGTTTCTTTCCATTCTCTTAATGTAGATCTGAACATCAAGCCAGTGAGGCAGAAGCAGAGAAGGTTCACCTCGGAGCACAACCAGATCATTGCAGATGAAGTTAATCGATTCTGGAGGCTGGGTTCATTAGAGAAGTATAGTACCCGGACTGGTTGTCAAATGTGGTTGTAGTGCAAAAGAAGAATGGAAAATGGAGAGTTTGCATTGATTTCACTAATCTGAACAAAGCCTGCCCGAAGGATAGTTTTCCACTTCCAAAGATTGATCAAATGGTGGATGCAACAACCGGGTATGAGCGACTGACCTTTATGGATGCATATTCAGGCTACAATCAAATCCCAATGGACCCAGGCAATAAGGAAAAGACCTCTTTTGTCACCGAACGAGGGATCTATTGTTACAAGGTTATGCCGTTTGGACTGAAGAATGCCGGAGACACGTATCAGAGGTTGGTTAGCAAAATTTTTAAGGATTAAATGGGCAGGATAGTAGAGGCTTACATCGACGACATGGTGTTCAAAAGTAGACAGAAGGACCATCACTTAAAACATTTACAGGAAGTGTTCGGCGTGCTAAGAAAGTATGGAATGAGGCTGAATCCAACTAAATGCTCGTTCGGCGTGGGATCCGGGCAATTCCTTGGCCATGTGGTCAACAACAGAGGAATTGAGGTTAGTCCAGCCCAAGCGGAAGCTTTGCTAAAAAATGCTAAACCAAGTACTATCAAAGAGATCCAAGCTCTCACCGGACGCATAGCGGCACTAAGTCGATTCATTTCTAAGTTATCCGACCGATGCAAACCATTTTTTGATACAATCAGGGGTCATAAAAAATGGTCCTGGGGGGATGAGCAAAGGAAAGCACTGATCAAGCTGAAAGAATATATGCGGAACCCACCAATCCTGAACGCCCAGTGCCAGGCGAAAAGCTTTTCCTGTACCTTGGAGTTTCTAACATTGCGACCAGTGGTGTGCTGATACGCTGTGCCGAGGGTAAGCAATTCCCGATTTTCTATGTAAGCAAAACATTGACCGAGCCAGAAAGAAGGTATTCGAAGGCCGAACGAGTAATCCTATCTTTGGTAAATGCAAAAAGGAAGCTCAGGCATTACTTTGAGCCTCATCCTATAGTCATCCTGACCACATTTTCTATAAGGGTGATCCTGCATAAGCCTGATTTGTCCGGACGAATGACGAAGTGGGCAATAAAGCTTAGTTCTTTTAACATAGCTTATGAACCCTGAATGGCTATTAAAGGGCAAGTTGTGGCTGATTTCTTATTGGAATGTGATGTAGATGAGCCAGATGAATGCCTTGAAGAATCTTCATGGCAGCTCTTTGTTGATGGCTCTTCAAATCAGATGGGGGTAGGAATCGGGATCAAGTTACAAACATTATAAGGCACTACACTGAGCCAAGCGATTAGGCTTGAGTTCAAAGCAATCAACAATGAAGCAGAGTATGAAGCGCTGCTGGCTGGCTTAAGGTTGACTAAGGAGCTAAAGGTTAAAAGTTTAGTTGCCTTCAGTGATTCGCAATTAATAATTCGGCAAGTGACTGGAGAGTATGGAACAAAGCATAAGACAATGGAGGCATACCATTCTGCCGTTATGTAAGAGGTTAGAAGCTTCGATCAGGTCAGGTTCATTCAGTTGCTGAGGGAGCATAATGAAGATGCCGATCGGTTGGCTTGTAGTGCGTCAAGTTCAGGTGAAACACTGGCAAGGGTAATTCCAATCGAGGTACTACGCTAGCCATCTATCCTTGAGGAACCGTCCAGTTCGAATCCTTGGCAGGTGAATGTTATACCATCTGAATCGAGCTGGATAGATCCAATTATTACATATATACAGGATGGTGTTTTGCCCGAACAGAGGGATGAAGCAAGAAGGATCAGATCGAATGCCGCAAAGTATACCATAGTGCACAACCAACTTTACAGGAGGTCTTATTTAGGACCATACTTAAAATGTGTAACCCCTGCAGAAGCTTAGCAGATACTGCGGACTATCCATAAAGGGGTTTGTGGCAATCATTCAGGAAAAAGGTCTCTAGCACACAAGGCGATGACACAGGGTTATTTTTGGTCAAACATGGCATGAGATACAGAAGAATTTTCGTAAAGGTCCGATAAGTGTCAAAGGTTCGGACCACTGATCCACTAACACGAGAAGATTTGCATGTAATGGCCAAACCATGGCCTTTTGTGCAATGGGGGATGGATGTGGTTGGCCCATTACCGACCACCAGATAACAAAACAAGTACGTTCTGCTTACAACAGACTACTTTACCAAATGGGTGGAGGCAGAACCGTACCCGAGTATGACTCAGACCCATGTGAGATGCTTCATTTGGAATAATATCATTTGTCAATTTAGTGTGCCGAGGGCAATCGTAATGGATAATGGGACTAACCTTGATAGCAAGCAGGTGAGGGAGTTGCTGAACGAATATGGAATTAATCAAAAGTTTGCAGCGGTCAGCCACCCATAGGTGAATGGTCAGGCTGAAATCACAAACAGAACGATCTTTGCTTGTATAAACAAGAAGCTTGAAGAAGAGAAAGGGAAGTGGTTAGATGAACTCCCGAATATCCTGTGGGCGTATAGAACGACTCTAAGACGACCGACCAGAGAAAGCCCATTCTCCATAGCATATGGTACTGAGGCAGTAATAGAACACCAAGTTCCTACCATTCGTAGTTTAGCGTGGAATCAAGAGCGGAATGACCATATGCTGAAATTCTACCTCAACTTGCTTGAAGAGAAGAGGAATGCTGCAGCAATAAGGCTCACATCATATCAACAAACGCTTATGAACAGTCACAACAGAAAGGTGAGGGATAGGGGTTTTGCACCTGGTGATTTGGTTCTGAAAAGAAAAGTCGATATTATTAAGAAAATGTTGTCACCATGAGAAGGTCCGCATAGAGTTGCAGAGGTTATCGGAAAGGGGGCATATGTCTTAGAGACTATGGCTGGAAGGCTGGTAAACAAGCCTTGGAATGCCACTTCTTTAAAAAGATATTATCAATAAAAATTGAGTTTCAGTTTAATCAATGTCTACCTTCAATTGTATACTTGCAAGAGAGCAAAAACTTTAAAAGATTTATAAAAAAAAAGTATCGCCTTCTTCTAAACAAGGTGACTAAGTATGAGCAAAGCCAAATGGCAAATGGCATTCTAGCCGAGCGCCAGGCACTTGAGCAAAGTAAATGGCAACTGGCACCACGAGCCGAACGCCAAACACTTGCTAAAAAATAATGAAAAAGCCAAGTGGCAAGTGGCATTCTAGCCGAGCACCAGGCACTTAAGCAAAGTAAGTGGCAACTGGCACCACGAGCCGAACGCCAAACACTTGTTAAAAAATAATTATATAAAAAAAAAGGCCAAGTGGCAAGTGGCATTCTAGCCGAGCGCTAGGCACTTAAGCAAAGTAAGTGGCAACTGGCACCACGAGCCGAACGCCAAACACTTACTAAAAAATAATTAAAAAAAAAGAAGGCCAAGTGGCAAGTGGCATTCTTGCCGAGCGCCAGGCACTTATTAGAAGTAATGAAAAAGATAAATGGTTGGTGTTATAAGCCAAAGGCCACACACTTGTGTTAAACAAAAATTATTATTAAGTACTACCAAATGATGCAGAGATTCAGATTAGATGTAGTCAAAAAGTATTATTTCATTCATTATAAGCTAAAAGATTACAAGGATATACATAAGACGGGTACAATCAAGTTCTATTTGTCTCCTCGTTTACCCTCTCACCCTCGGCAGCCTCCCTAGGATGGTTAGTATTCCCCTCCCCATCATTGGTAATGGCATCCCTGTGAGGGGGGGAGTCAAGCTGAATCACCACTTCAGTCTGCTGAGTTCCACCTTCAGTGGTAGTCACAAGGGGAACCACAATAGAGAGAGGAGGTATGTCTAAAGGCTGAACGGGAGGAGGAACATGGATAACTCCAGATGAGGCAATCCCATCACATTCTTCAAAAATGTGTTCAGCAGGAGTGGGGTCTGGATCAGCATAAACTCCTAGAGGATCAATTCCCAGCTCCTTGTCAACATCATCTGAGCCTGTGCCTGAGACTGTCTGACCCTCAGCTGGAAGGCAATCGTTGAAACCTTCTCGGTATCCTTCGACATACCTGAGGGCCCCAACACGGGAGAAACAGCTGTGCAGAGCCATCATCCCTCCATTGAGTCTGCCGATGACACCGAGCAGGGCATTACGCTCATCTAGAGCCCTCTTTTCAAAGGCCATACGCTCTGCTTGTTCATCATGAAGCAGGCGCTGAAGATTGTCTCTTTCGGCTTTGAGCGCTTCACGCTCGGTCTGCCAGACACTGTTCTGGTTCAGAAGGGCGTCTTTTCCGTCTTGAAGGGAGTCTATTTCCTTCTTTAGACCATCCATTTCCTTCTCAGCCTTATCTAGCTGCACCATGAGTTCAGCATTTTTGGTGCTGATGATCTTGTTCCCTTTGTGACCCACGTCAACGTCTTTAGCGAACTTTTGTACCTTAGCATTGGCAGCCTCGACATGCTTTTGCATGGCCATCATACCAAAGAGAGTCTGTAAAATAATACATGAGTACTAATTAAGTTGAACGCATGTCTAGAGGAATTACAATGAAAAAACATTTCAAATGCAACAAAAAGAAGGGAGAGGAATTACCTCCATAGCCGCAAGGGGAAAACGGCTGAAGACCTCCTTCTGAGACAGAGATTTGGCAACCTCAATGTCTTTGGAAGACCACATGTTCTTGTAATAAGCCATGGCTGTTGGACCTTTCCTGAACATGGTCTCGTTCGGCTTTACTACCGATCCATCAGCTCGGACTAGTTTAGGGGTCCACGGAGCCTCTCCAGAGGAGGAACCAGCGGCATTGCAGGACCCGAAGGAGCAGTTGGCATAACTTGAGAAGGGATAGGCAAACCTAGCCCGGAGGTATGAATCCTCCTTGTCAGAGGAACGTCATCAGGGCTGCCTTCGCTTTCAGGCTGAGGCCTTTTTCCCTGTTCTTTATCCTGAACGAATGCAATGGGGGCAGTGGTACTCCGAGCTTGAAGGACGGAGTTCTGGTTGACAAGTAGAGTGGTGATGATCGGGAGAACAGTCACCACATTCGGGGTAGTGCTAGAGGTGGTGGCAGATGAAGATGCTGAAGCTGGAGAAGAAGAAGCCGCGGAAGCAGCATTTACCCTGGGAGGATCCTTCCTCCTGCTGAAGGATGGAATCCGAAGCTGGCTCATTGTGGTGCCGAGGAGAGATATATCACTTAAATTCTCAGATGTGAGGAGTTCAGAATAGGAAGGGATGTCATTCAAAACGTACTCCTTCAGGTAATTGGTCTTATCCTTGTAAATGTTATAACTAAGTTCATTATACTGCGGGATACCTAAAGAATTGCAAAGAAACGAACAGAATCGAGGAATGCAAATTTCACAAGGGCAGTCTGCCTTATGGGTTTTGAATTTCTTATACGAAAACACAGAGCATTCGCTGAAGGTTGTAGGGATAAGATAGTCCTTGGCAGCCGGAGCAAACCAAGCACTTCGAACGCCAACAATGCCCTTTTTCCACCCCTTTTCAGAATTAAGCTTGTCTGTACAGATGGATTTCTTTTCAAAAGGGTAAAGATGGTAATAAGCATCCTCCAGCCTGATTTTGCTGACCTTGTAACAGAGGAGAAGATCAACCAAGTCAAGATCTAGGCCTCTATCACGATTCAGAAGTAACAGAACGGACAGAACCCTAAGAAAATTAGGGTTAACTTGAAGAGGAGAAAGTTTCAACCTATTGAACACATAACAGAAGAAAGGGTGAAAAGGGAATCTAATATTGTTGAGGTGATGAAGGGAAAACAAGACTTCGCCGGGAAGAAGACTGGCACCAGTTCTGACATTAACATCTTTGGGACATTCTCTAAGGTGAATATCGGGAGGGAGATGGAGCTTCATACGTAGAATATCCAAATCTATAGGCATGATGCTGACAATTATGATTATAGACACTAAAATTTTAGTGGACTTTGATTTAGATAAATGGACCCATTAAATATGGGCCTAATATTTAATTTAGTTATTTAATTGGCCCACACTTGGTCCATTTAAATTATTTAATTAGCCCAGCCCAGATGGTTAAATAAAAAGAATAATTATTCTTAAATAAAATATATTTGGAATAATTATTTTTAAGGATAATTATCACAATATAACCGACCCGGCCCAGTTATAATTTTATCCTTATCAGGAGATGACACGTGTTATCATCCTATTAATCCAAGAAGCCTATAAATAGAGGCCTGGAGGAAGAAGAAAGGCGTACACAAATTCAGAATTCAGAAATCTAGAATTCCAGAGAGAAATACAGAAACTCTCATCCCCAACATCCAAACCTAAAAGCGATGCACACCAAGCACATCAAATCGTGCCGTTCTTCATCAAAGTCCACAGTGATCAACAACAAGCACAGCCAAAGATGTGCCGTTCTTCATCAAATTCCACGGTGATTCAAGATCAAGCCTGTGCAGCCCTTGGATCTAACCAACCAACAAAAAAAAAAAAAAAAAGGAGATTTAATCAGAGGACCAGTTCTTTCTTTTGTAAAGAATATTACAGAGGATTGTACCTCAGTTTCTCAAATTAATAAAATTATAATATTTGCTCCATATATTGTTTCTATTGCAGACTTACAAAATTTGTGTGTACAAATTTTTGGCACGCCCGGTGGGACCTCATTTGCCTCTCATCTCTTTCTCCTACCATCAAGTTTCTTTTTTATCAGATTCTATGGCTCCCCCTAAGACTCCGACAGAGAAGAAAGCCCAAAAAAACATCGTTACCGCAAAGGTCGACGCCAAAGCCACCATGAAAAGTGGCACGAAAGCCAAATCAAGTGATGGAAGTACCTTGGCGGGCCCTGTGACACGTAGCAAGTCCCAGGCGATGGCTTCATCCAAACATCAGCAAGACTTGGTGAAAACCAATCCTGCAAAGCTGGCAAACGTGAAAACCCAACATGTCAAGAACCCTGACGTTATTCCAGAGGAGATTCCGCCACCAGATTCACCTCATTCCATCCATGATGCTCGCTCTAGTGTCAGTTCACCCCCAGAGTCACCACGTCAGACTTCGGAGTATTCAATCACTTCAAGAAACGTTGACTCTCAAGGTCTATCATACTCAGATGTGGTCGCTGCTATGATGACTGGAGTTGCCACGGTGGAGGAACAACTAGCAACTATGTCTCGTGCCATTGAGAACCTCACAAAGACTGTTGAAGAGAAGGACTTACAAATCGCTATGCTGATGAACAAATTGGAAGTTCAGACCTTCGGTGAATCACCAGTACAATCTGAGCATCCTGCATCTTCCACACCACCGCCAACTGGGAATCATGCAACTTTCACACCACCACCGTCTGGGAATCCTATATCTTCCACAGCAATACCGACGGAGAATCTTAATTCTACCGCGCAAGGTACTTGCATGGAGGACCCCAAACAGACGCCGATCACAGAACAGGTGGCTAATCAAAACCAGACGCCAGTGACAGAACAGGCAGCTAGTCAAACAAGTCATTCTTATTCAGTCTCTTGATTATCTATCGCACAATTGAAAGATATGATAACGAATACAATCCGAGCCCAATATGGAGGCGTCTCATAGAGCACTCTCATGTACTCAAAGCCCTATACAAGGAGAATCGACAGTATGAGGATGCATGTAGGATACCAACCTCCGAAAATTCAACAATTTGACGGAAAAGGTAACCCCAAGCAACACATTGCCCATTTTGTCGAGACTTGTAACAATGCTAGGACAGAGGGGGACTTACTAGTTAAATAGTTTGTCCGCTCCCTTAAAGGAAACGCGTTCGAGTGGTACACCGACCTAAAGTCAGAGACAATTGATAGT